TTCACAAACTATAATCTCACACACACTCTTTTAAGATACCGATTATGTTCCGGCAACAATTAAATTACTCATTATAATGTCTATGAAGATTCTCAGTCATCCAGGTCATGGTCAAGTTTAAAATGTTCTGTTAGGCAACTGGACATGCATTTTCTAAAAGAAGACGTTTCACCTCTAATCCAAGAGGCTTCTTCAGTTCTAACTGGTGGTGGGGAGTACAGCAAATATACTCTAGGGGAGAAAGAATAAAGCTACTTCAGCTCCACCCTGTTAGGTGGGGCCTTGGGGTCAACTGTGAAAGTGTAAACAGTCGTTAAGAGTCTGACGGGTCGTTGTGGTCCCCATCAGAATGGTTTCGGTCACCTGCCTCTTTGTTGTGTGAAACTGAGGTGAAACTTTTGGGTATTGTTCCTAAAAGTGCTTTGTGAGTGGGTGATGGTTTTTCCAGGTTGACAACAATTGCTTCAATGTGGTTTATGCCATTCAGTGCAGTGAGGAGTGTACTGACCTGTACATTGGGGAGACTAAACAACCGCTACAAAGGACTGAACTTTGCGGTCGGTCCTGCACACATCCCCACTGTGGACCTCATCACAACCACGAGACAGCCATCACAAACAACCATTTAAACACCACAGAAGCCGAACAGCTCAGGTTGAAGGTCACTGCGGCACTCTCCAGTGCTAAACCTCACAGGGAATACGGCACAACATACCGGCAGAGCTCAAGAGGAGGTGCCGAGGATGCAGAGCCGGGGCTAAAATAAAGGCGAAGATAACGGCTAACCGGAGCCGTTTCAAACCATCGATTCCCTCCATTATCATGGGTAACGTAAACTTTCTTCCCAATAAGATGGACGAGCTGTCTGCGCTTTACAACCAGCGGCCCCGCCAACAGCTACAAAAATAAGGTCATCGACTGCCTCCAACAGCATAGACAGACCCCTGTACCATAGGCTTTATCCAGGAGAAGCCTTTCCTCCTATTTATGGTCTCCCCAAAATCCACAAGGAAGGAGCTCCACTCAGATCCATCATCAACAGCATCAACTCAGTCACTTACAACATTGCCAAACACCTGGCCTCCATCCTTTCACCATTGGTTGGAGACACACCTCACCACATAGCCAACTCACAGGACTTCACCAACAAGTTAAGGGGGCTAAAATTGGACCCGGATGAGACCATGGTCTCCTACGATGTCACATCACT